TGTGTCATTGGCAAATTTAGCAACAATGTGCTCAGTTCCTTTGCCCAGATCTTTAATATATAACATGAATAGTCTCATTACATGAGGAGTTATAAATGGAGCTGAACACTCTAGTTGTCAGTGAATATTCCTGTTTCTAATCGTATTGAACGTTGGTGCACAAATTGGTGAAAAGGTGTTACTTGTTGGTACAGACAACATCTTACATCACTTTACTGTTGACTCATGGTATTGTACTTGGTTAGGTTGGATTTGGCCTTACTTCAGTGGACAGAAAATAACCAGTGAAGTCTACTCTACAAAGTGTAATATTTCCATGTTGTTGAAAGATTGTGACAGTTTGTCGAGAGGTGTAGCTGGTTCTGGAGCTCAGATTTTGTGCTCTACAGCCCAGATGTCATTTGAACCTATAGTCTTTGTTGTATCAGAACACAGTTTTGTCACATCACGTGAAGTAAATCAAATTGGCAGGAGGTTTTTAGTGATGGTTCATCATCAGAACTGCACTGAATCTCTTGACTATATTCAAGGTAGTTTATTGAATGCTATGTTTTTGAATCAACAACAGGATAGGCCGTATTAGATTTAGTAATGAGAAAGATTTATTTGATAACATGAGAGTAGTGTAATTTGTCTAACAGTGATTATAAAAATACTTAAGTATTAAATTCAAAATTAGGTTTACACAGAATTATGTAGAATATACAGAACAGAAAAGGCCAGTTAATCAAAAAGTTCAGCAATAATCTCACTGAATGAGATTATTAATAAGAACATGGACCTGAATGATTTATACCAGTTCCTTTGATGTTGAAACTGTTGACAGTTTAGTTTATTTGCAATTTTGAGCCAATTCAGAGGAACAAAGCTAATGTTATGCTCCATGACCAAAAGTGTAAATTATAAATTAAGCAAGTAATAGTTCCACTGCCTATTAACCCATGTGAGATCAAACCTTGGAGTACTGCCATGTCCAGGATATCAAGAAACAAAAGAAACATTTATGTGCTGAAGCACTAAGTAGGATTGACCAGTGGGAAATACTGTATATACTTAAGCTTTTCAACCTGGAAATGAGGCATCCCAGGGATGACATTCCAGAGCTTTGAAAAAGTCAACTGCAAAACATTAAAACATTAATAGGAGCCACACTATCCTATCATAAATGTAGTGTTTTGGAAGATAAGTTTTTGATTTTTGAAGGAATGTAAACTAACCTTCAAATGGAAATGGGCAAGGGGGCAACGGTTATCTAATGTGCTGAGTAGCTGTCCCGTGGCCATTGGTAGAAAGGACTCAGACAACAAATTGACACTGTACAAGGCACCAAATTCCAGAAATGGGGAATATCAATCAGTGCTCAGGGGAAAAGGGGAGGCCTAGTCAGGAGGCACTTGTAGGTGGCAGACCTTGTCAGGGAGATATCTTCTCCAGATAGAAGGTAGACCAGAAGAGGAGGAGGAAGATTGCTGGAAGAGTTCCCTAACACCTTGGCTAGAGAGTAGGATGCTGCCTTTATGGCTTTAACGAAACTAACACGTTCTGTGCCGACAGTTTGTTTATCCTCTGGAATCAGAGAACCATCCTCAATTGTCATGTTGTATACAGGCAGTCCCTAGGCTGCTAACGGGTTCCATTCTTGAGTCTGTTCACAAGTCGATTTGTGCGTAAGTTGGAACACAACGCAAGGCAAAAGAAAGTAGCTCTTCATAGGTTCAGGAAACATTCCTACGTTGGATCTTTAGAATTACACCCCTGTATACGAGATTGTTTTTGTTAAGTACAAGCATTCATAAGTCGGATGTTAGTAAATCGAGGACCCCGTGCACTTTGTTTATTAATGTATCAGCTAAACTGCTGCTTCTTAACAAAAGGAATAAACTATCAGAAAATTGCTACAAACTGTCGATTGCCTATATTAGATAACTGATCAGGAATCCTCAAATCAGCAGTGTTTTGGGGAAGGATGGGTGGTGACTTTGGTTGGGAGCCTTGGCTCTAGGACAAACTTTCTTACTGTAAGACTGAGTTGAAACCTGGGGTAGCTTCTTCCTGATCCACGGAGGTGCTGGGGGTGGGGATGTAGGTGCAGTTGTACCTTCAGTCTCTCACCTAGCAATTCAGAATGATCTATTTCTATGTTTCTTTTTCTTTTCACAATCATTCATTCATCGTTAAAGAATTTAAATTTGGCTTTAACCTTTAATAACCAACTGAGGGAAAGAAAAGTTCATACCGGACCGTGACGACCTCAAGAGAAAAGTTCTGACTTTCGCTGCTGAGTTCTGCACCTTTTATAGAAAAGACAACATTCGGAGCCTCCCAGCAACGGTGGGAGTTCCGTCCTTGCCATTGTTGAACTCGCTGTGATTTACGCGTCAGAGAGAGCTGCAGTATTATTTACAGTTTCTATGACTCCAAAAGAACCCGGCCTTCCTAACTCGTGGTTTTTCCGTGGAATTTCGCTGACATTCTTCCCTTCTGTTATCCTTCTTTCCAATCAACATTTATACTGGGTGTCAATATCACCCTGTATCAGTCAACCGGCTGCAGTCCTCCTGTTCCTGCTCGTTGTCATAGCTTTTACATTAACCCTGGGGGGAAGAATCACTAGTGTTCTGGCAGCGGTCATTTTGATGCTTATTGTAAGGTAGCAATTTGGAAGGGCTCGAGTGACATCTTGAACTATCAAAAATCCAACGCCTTCCTTTAGAACCGTAGGACGGTTACAGCACGCAGGAGGCCATTCGTCCCATCATGTTTCTTTGCAAAAGCAACTCACCAATTGCCAGTTCCCCCTTTTCGGTCGCACTGTATTTTTTTTTGTTTTGGTTTGCAGTGTCACCACTCACTGAGGAAACGCTATTCACAGAGTTGTCACAAAAGTTAAAGATTTTAAAATATCAAAAACAATAAACAATCTGCTTTTTGGACAGACGTTGATAAAAATAAAGCACAGGCCAGGTTTCTGTCCAAAGCAAGAATCACTGATTATTTCAGGCAATTAGATTCTACCCACGGTAAACAATTAAGCTAAATTAAGTAAACTCTACCCTTTATAAAACTCTCCCTTGTACAGACAAACAGGGTAAAATACATGGGTGGAGTGCAAACCGGAAAAACGGTTCTATACGCTTTGTTCACAAGATCTGTTGGATTGGTTCGTGCTGATCCAAACGTTTCTCCTCAATTTTTTTCCAAATGCTTCCATTTGTTTTGCAAAAGGCACAGGACAGCAGTTCCACTTACAAAAGGTCTCTGAGTCATTCAATTCAAAGTCGCAACTTGCAGCATCCGCTGAAGAAAAGATGAGCCAGTTTTCTTCAGATTTAAAGTGGCTGCTGCAGATCCGATGGGTTCCTTTCTGGTCTCGCTAGGTCGTCTCTGTCTTGCTCACAGACCAAGGTGTTCAGCTCGGTTGTCTCTATCATGCTCACAGACCAAGATGTTGAGGTGACAATCAATCGCCTTATTTTCGGCAGGCAAAAGGACCTTTGTCATTGATAATTGGTCCCTAGTGCACAAATTAATCATCTTCACTTGTAAGCAATTCCTTGACCTCAGTTCATCTGCACTTTGCTGGAATCTACAGCTAGTGTTCACAATAGGTATAAAATTATTTATCTTCAAAGCATGTAGTCATCCTTGTAAATCCATGGCCTTCAAATAGTTATTTCTCATTTCAAGTATAAAAGGTGAAAAAAAAGGCACAGTCTTTACAGCAGCTTTTTCAAAATCATAGTGGATCTGACTCTACTGCACTCTCAGGCAGTATATTCCACATTCCTAAACACTGTACTTTAAAAAAAACCCTTATGTGGCTTTTGATTTTTTTTGCCATTCATCTTAAATGTGTGCTCTTTGGTTCTTATCCTTTCCACCAATGGAAAGTTGTCATTTCTGTTCGAGATAGTTAGGCAGACCCTGCAAGGTTCTGCGTAGCTCCATCATATGTTCTTTCAAAGTGCAGACATTTACCTGTAAGTTGCTGGGAGTTCTTACTTCATAGAAGGTAACTATTTGGTCCATCCAGATAATGCTAGCTCTCTGTTGCCCCTGCTGTAGCCTTTATTTCCCTCAAGTACCCAATCAATTTCCTTTTGAAATTTTTGCTTTCACCATCCTCAGAGATAGTGAATTCCTGTATCTGTCAGTCATACAGCACGGAAACAGACCCTTTGATCCAACAGGTTTCCCAAACTAGTTCCACTTGTCTGCATTTGGCCCATATCCCTCTAAACATTTGCTATTCATGTACCTGTTCAAATGTCTTTTCAATGTTGAAACTGTACCTGCAATTACCATATTTTCAGGATATCCCTATATGCTACATAGCTGATGGATTACGTGATGAAATCGATTCAGTTTACAGTCAAGTATAACAGCTAGTTATTCAAAACAGCAGAGATAAATACCAAATCTTTTTGTGGATGTTTTTAAGATGTTGGTCTGCAACCAGGCTGGATCCACACATAATCCCAGTTCATCTTTGAATAATGCAATCAGCCTAAACAGAGAGGATTATTTTTTCAATGCCTCAAGTGAATTGAGGCAGAGTGGTACATTTCCTCAGCAAAAATGAAAAACTATAGAAATTGAGGAAACAAATCTGACTCGAAGATACATTACACTACTGAACAAAGTCCCAACAACATCCTCTGTTAAAATTCTCTTTTGGGGGGGCAGCACTTTTATAAATTATCAGATCACTTTATTTCATTGTTTTGTGATATTTTGCTGTGTTCATGTTGATGGTTACATTTCCTCACAATGACTGCACTTTTTGATATATTCTGTAACATGCTGATGTTGTGAAAAATCCTATGAGAAATACAAGTCCTTTATTTCAAGAAAATATTTCAGTATCTTATAGCAACAATGCACATCTGTGCTGGAATTTTGAATGCCAAAATGTCAGAAGTCTGTCTTAACTAGTGTACATTTTGTGTGAGGGCAACGTTAAACCCAGTACTCTGAAGAAGAACATTTATCGCAGTCTCTTTCCAGTTTTCTGTATTTTATTTTAATTTCAAAGATTTATATCACATTGTTCACTCTACAAACGATTGGAGATGGGATGTACCCTGGAAGTTGAGCTACAGGGACCCCTTAGAAATCTCAACATAGAGTGGGAGTTGTCTGGGGAGTTTGAGCTTCCGATGGGCAATTACTCTGCTCTCTCGTACTCTCTGAAAAAGTCTCACCCTCTAAGTTAGAATTGAAAATTTTGATAATTCTGACTTACATGAATAGTTAACCACAAAATGGTGGACAGGGAGAAAACATAGCTTAATGCCTAGGTAACTGCACAAATGGCCCCCAATCACTATGACTGACCTCCACCAACTCATCTCCCTGACCTGAGTCCACAAGTCTTTACATCCCCTTAACCTCCTGGCACCTACCCTAACCCTATAACTTCTTCAATAGCTTTGCAAAAAAACTTTGGGACAACTAAACTTCATTTACAGCAATCCGGCAGCTACTGCATAAAAAGGGTGCATGGCTTCAGCATTGCTACCTCTCAGATCTGTGGCCCTGAGTCAATTCTGAAGATTCCCACCACTGGAAGATAATCCAATAGGAGGGCATCCTTTTTTGTTAGATTAGGGTGGAAATAGTGCTTCCAATCCTGAGCATAAGATCTAGGTCATCATTTTAAAGTCAATTTTAAGATTCCGTGCTTTCCATTTGGCTTAAGAAACAGGATACAGTCTGTCTCATTGTATAGGTTCCAACATCTTTGCTGACTAAGTGTTAAAACTTTAGACTTTCATAAAACTATATTAAATCCATAATTGCCTTTAATCATTTGGTAAAGCTAAATATACGTAACAAAAATAATAAACTAAAGTAAAACTACAGAACTAAAAACAAAATACTAATTTTGTTTATATTATGCTTGAGACTAAAGATTTAAAGGACTCAATGATTTAGGCATTTTAAGATATACCTCAAGTCTTTATTTTTTAAAATAAAGCCTCCTCTGCGAGAACTGCCAGCAACGCACACTATTGATTTGGCAACTGGAAAACTGAGGGTAGTATCTGCTTAAATCTTTGAAAGTTTACATTCGTTTGGACTAGCTCTTGTACAAACAAGTTAATTTTGGAAGTTTACATCCTTTTCTCAGTGAATGCAAACTCAAAGCACAAAACTGGCAGTAACCAGTATTCTCTCTCAAAAGAATAAAAATGCTCGATATAAGAAATTAAAATATCAGACAGGGGCTCTAATGAATTTGGTTTTTCCGAATGTATGATATTTTGTATCATAAAGAAAAACTTACTGAAAATGTTTCACTGTTACTGCATAGAAAATGAGAATCCCAGTACAATCTTATTTATATTAACAGGTAAAATATTACAAATCAAATAATGCCTGCAATTCTTAATAAGTGCAACCTCCAGGCTTAAGCATAGACACTATTGCACATTTTAAATATTTGAAACTTCATTTTGCATCATCTCTTGCACTGTATTATTCAGAAAAATAGTATTGTGGGTTTTAAGAGGATAAAAATCTGAGTCTGCGTAAAAAGTTGTCGGGTTTGGGGGGTGGGGGGTGGGGGGGTGTCTTTTCATGTTAAAGAAAAACAAGTACAAAGTGATATCCTAAGGTTTCACATGGTGCATTTCCCTTTCAACTCAAATAACTAAAATATAGTCCAGATGGATGGAATGGAAAGCTGTTTTTAGGATCTTATGTAAAATAAATGCATAGTTTTAATTAGTTCTGAGGGGTCCTTCTCCTCAAGAAAAAAAACTCACTATAGGTCAGTTCGAAGTGCAATCTGAATGGATTGAAAAATTCAGACCAATGCACGACTGAAAGTTCTTTTCAGTTTGGGTCCATATCTTACTTTTAGGTTTTTTTGTATCGAGCTTTGTTAAAGTTGATTTTACACCATTCCAACATTGTTTTATAAATACAGGATAGGGTGTTACTTTCTCCAACTCAAGACTTCATTCAACTTCACAAGTATAAGATTGGCACTTGCAATGCATATCAAACACTTTTAATATTAAATAACAAAGTAAAGTTGCCCAACACCCATGGGTTGCTCCTTATAACAAAATAAATACTTTCCATAGGAAAAATAGTCCTTGAGCAAAGTGGCAGAAAATCCTGGATCTTAGGATAAATATTTAAATCAAATACTTCAAAATATTGAAACATAAAACATATCCAGTACATTTCATAGGTCCAGCAAGTTATTTTGATGAGTAGAACAAATTGTATTTCAAAACTAAAAATAAATAAGGTATATTTCAAGTTAAATAAAAGAGCTGCAGATGCTGGAAATCTGAAACAAAAACAGAAAGCGTTGGAGAAACTCAGCAGGTCTGACCTTTTCAGTTTCTCCAGCATTTTCAACTGTTGTAATTTTTCCAGTTGTAGTTTTGTTTTGTTTGACCTGTACCCTCTTTCGATTCGACCAACTCCAGTAGGAACAATGCCAATTAAAGGAAAATTTTTAGGTGCCAACAAAATCAGAGATGCAAGAGATCAAAATAATGCCACTGTTGAGGTCAAAAGTGTGTGATTTTATTTTGTACCCCGATTCTCTTGTATTTTTTTAAGCAGGTATTCCATCTGTAGGTTTAGGTTTGGCTGTCCTTTTCTTGTTTTTTTGCTAAGTATTCTGTACTTCTCTAATTTATCTTCCTTGTATTTTCTCTGCGCCTCTTCCTTTTCTTGTTGACGTTTCTCAGCTGCCTTTGAGAAAAATACAAAGTTAACAAATACATCTCAAATAAATAACTCTGCAGTGAGACTAAGAGATTTATAACGTTCCTTTGCAAGCATTCTCTGATAAAACAAGTTCATACTTTTTGGTACAACATACAGTATATCAGTACAATTCAAAGAGTCTTAAAAAGCAGTTATTGAAGACTGTTTTTCTTTTTAAATTCTTTATTATGGGATGTGTGCTTTGTTGGGAAAATTAAAATTTATTGCCCATTTTTAATTGTCTTTGAAAAGGTGATGTAAGCTGAATTCCTGAACTACTGCAGTCCACATGATGTAGCTATGCTCTCAGTGCGATTGGGGAGGGAGCTCTAGGTCATTGATCCAATGAACAAACAGTGATATATTTCCAAGTCAGGATGGTGAGAGACTTGGAGGGGAACTTAGGTGGTGTTTCTAGGCATTTACTACTCTTGTCCTTCAATTCCAGCTCAGTTTTTGGTCAATGGTATTCCCTGGGATGAAGTTAGCAGGGGATTCAGCGCTGGTAATGCGTTTAAAAGGCAAAGGGCAATGGTTAGATTCTCTTTTGCTGGAGATGAGCATTGTTTGATACACATATAGCAAGTATATTACTTAGCATTTGTCAGCTCAAGCCCGGATATTGCTGTGGATTTGGAAGACTAAGTCAAAATAGGCTTCATGACATATCCAAGTGCATCATGCAGATGGCATATTACCACCATTGTGCACCACTGATGAAGAGACTGAATGTTTAAGATGATGGATAGGGTGACAATCAACAGGTATGTTGATGTCTGTTGTGCTGTTTCGCTGTGCTATTATAATTCATGAATTTTCAGGTGTGGATCAATTGACTGAGATCAAGTGACAGTTGTAATTAGTGTATCAAATTGGATGTAGGGCAGTAAAGAGAATTCAATTTTGGAGTTTCTTCAGGTTCAGCCTCAGGCAAGTGTGCTATTTTCACAGTGTTGATTAATTTCCATTTTGCTTTAACCTACATGAACTCCTTGAGATGGGGTGGGGTGTGGTGGGAAGGAGAAGGAGGGCCATAATTTTCTGCCCTAAGACTTCATCCAATGGTTTACTCGGAGAGTTTCAAATACAGGCCTGCAGTAAGAATAAAGAAAAAAATACTGCAGATGTTGGAAATCTGAAACAAACTGAACACTGGAGAAACTCAGCAGGTTTGGCAGCATCTGGGAGAGAAACAGAGTTAACGTTTTGAGTTTGGTATTACTCTTCATCAGACAGTATAAACGAGAGATCTGCAGGGTCACAAACAAATTATTTAAAGGTGGTAGGATAAATTGATACAGCTGCTAAAAAAAAAAAACAGGATCCTGGACTTTATAAATCTGAACCAAAGCAACAGTGTAATGTTAAAACCTTAAAAGTTACTCTTCAGTTCTGAGGTGAAGAATGCTTTCAGAAGAATGTCAGGACCTTGAACAGGTGCAGGATAGATTTTCCAAGTACTTAGCTATGCCAGAGTTGTGTGAAAACAATATATTTTTCTGACTGGTAACACTCTGGTTGAGTTACTTACTGCATTTTTATTTTATTCTTTTATCAATTTTAGTTTGGAGCTGTGAACTGAAGATGACCTTTGGAATGAGCAACAGCTTATGTTTAAAAATAAAAACAAAACAAATAAAAGTTGTGGCTCGTTTGAGAAGCCAGGTCTGGAAGTTAATTTCAGGTTAGTACTTGATTGAAAGGATTCCATAGATGCTTCAAAGCTGGGGAAAGCAGTATGTTTAAACAGATAGCAGATGTTGGCTACTAATAAGGTCAGTATCTGGGAGTTGGTTCCAGCAAGATTGGGAGAGAACTTTTGCTCCAGCAGAGGCAGATGTTGAATAGTAACTGGGACCTCGTGAGGAGACAGTCAGTCTGACAGGAAGAGACCAGACTTTTGAACTGGGTTTGAACAACGTTTTCTGGGTGAATGAATTTGGTTGTTGATGCAAAAGCGTGAAGATCTGAAAGCTCCCTGCCTAACCTCCTGTTATAAGCTATAGGAAGTTTACAGAATAGAAACGGAGTTGTAAGTCTTACTGACTTCCTTTGAATGAGCTGAAAATGTTACCTTGATCTACAACTTCAGAAAGTCAAGCAAGAAATAATCATATATGCCCATGGAACAACGCATCATGAAAACCACTTAAATAAACTGGCCAGATTTGTTATTTTCTTTTATATATCCCTTAACTGTGTTTGTCTGTCTGTCTTGTGTGTGACTGGAACTGAAAACAAAAGTTATTGGGGTTAAACATTAGACAATTAGATTACATTGTTATTTGATTTTTCTCATTTATAATTACTGCATTTATTCAAGTTACAAACCAACGTCGAGAATTGATTGTTCCAGAGTCTGGGACTGATTATTCAAAAAAAAAGTCTGGTTAGGAAATGTTTGGATCAATTTTGAGGGTGTGTGTAGCAAATACAGAGGTAGAAAGGCTGATTTCGTTCAGCTGTCTCCTTGTCGTAACATAACCATACCACAGTGAATATGGTCATTTGTGATTTTACAAGAAGAATGTTTGAAATCTTAGTTCAGAACCTTAAGTACATATAGGAGTACTGGCAAAAAAAATTAATTCAAAGCATTCAAGTTTTATTTCTAATTATCATAAAACTATTTATTTCACTAAATCATTGCTGATTATGTCAATGAAATGTGTATTAATTCTACACTTTAAAATCCTGGGGTATCCTTGCTTTTCTGAAACCATAAATAGAAATTGAATCACAGTTCAGATCCAGAAAACACTGTATGACACTTACCTCTTTCTGTTTTAATTTTTCCGCCTGCCGTTTTTCAAATTCTTCTTTGATCTTTTGATATGATGACTTACTCTTTTTCCTAAAATCAGAAAGTACAATGAAAGCAAATGATATTGTCTGCATTTAGGTAAATGTCTTCAGTAACAAGACATCCACGACAGGTCTTTCTTTGAGAACTTTAGTCAGCATTCTCCAATTTTACAAATTTGCCCAATGACAGAACCATGGAAATCACAGATGGCTGTCATCTGTCCCATTCTGCTAGGTCTATGTCAGAATTACCTGATCTAAATTGATTTTTTGTGATATCTCATCAATACTAAACTTACAGCACTCTAAAATAAGACCATAAGACACAGGAGCAGAAAAGGCCATTAGGCCCATTGCTCCACTGCTCAATGAGATAATAGCTGATCTGAAAATCCTGAACTCCACTTTCCCATCTTCCCCCTTAATCCTCGATTTCATTACAGATTAAAAATGTCTCAGCTTTGAATTGGGAGTGGCTTAGTTTCAAATGCCCACTGTTGCATATTATACTAACGTTTCTACATAAAAGTCCTTCTAACATATCTCTGCATGCTTCTAGTAATAACCATGTGTGTCTGCTATAGTATCAAGTCATCAAAAGTTGAAGTCAACTTCTACTATTTACCCTCTGAAATTCTTTCAAAATGTTAAGCACATTACAAAAGAAAAAAAACTTCTTTTCTGACCTAATGAGTACAGATCTAGTTCCTTAAACCTGTTATTTGAGAGTAATCCTTAGAACCATTCTCGTGAGCTCATGCTGCTCTTCTTCCACAGCTTTAATGCCATTGAAAATAGGGTGCCTAGCAGTACACATGATGAGATGAGCTGTTTCAAAGATTTCTTCATATCCTTATTGTTCTTATATTCGATATTCCTATTCTGCAATAAAATGCAGAACTCTGTTTGCCCTTATGTTGTTTGCAATATATTTCTTTTGGCTTCTCCCATTTTACATGAGATTGCAACACTGTTGGTAATCACCCTTCTCTATCTCCTCCTGTCAGTCACATCTTTCTTTTCTAGCCTGTGTCTAAATCTCTTAAAAAACAAAGAGGAAGGTGATGGCCTCCTGGTATTGTCGCTGGATTTTTAATCCAAAGACACAGGTACTGTTCTGGGGACCAGGGTTCAAATCTCACTGTGGCAGACAGTGGAATTTGAATTTAATTAAAACCTGGAATTAAGAGTCTAATGATGAGCATGCAATTGTTGCCAATTGTCAGGAAAAACCCATCTGGTTCACTAATGTCCTTTAGAGATCGAAACTGCCATCCTTACCTGGTTTGGCTTATTTGTGACTTCAGACCCTCAGCAATGTGGTTGACTCTAAACAGTTCTCTGGGCAGTTAGAGATGGGCAATAAATTTTGGCCTAGCCAGTTATGGCCTCATACTGTGAATGAAAAAAAGTCTTTCAATATGGTTCTACATCTTCTTCATATCTTCCTGCCCGTGCCATCACCATTCACGTACTTCAATTTTATTTCTCCCCGCAAAAAGTACCAGACCATTTCAATTTTTTCTCAGCTACTTTCTACAACTTGCCCAAAATCTTCACTGCCCGAATTAGTGGATTCCTGATTTTGTCCTTTCTTATTATGTCAACTCAGCACTTGTATCTCATTAACATCTAATCACTGTTTCTTTTTTTTCGATGCTGCCCAAATTTAACAAAATCAGTCTCGCAACTGTCTTACAGACTCTTGGTTTCAGTTTCATCAATGCTTTTCAGTTACATTACACTCCAATGCACTTCCAATTACTCCAACCCAAGGTAATTTATCATTTAATTTTCATTGCAACAGATCTATCTTCTGCCACTAATGACTTCAGATACTTTAACTTACTTAGTTTCTCCAAGTCTTCACCAATAATTTTTATACCTTCACTTGATCTTCTTTACCAAGCTCAAACTGATGGTGCTTAAATGGAGTCTTTAGTTTACTGATCATTACGTCTCTGCTTTGCAGAAGGACCTGGGTATCTTTGTGCATGAATCACAAAAAGTTGGTTTGCAGGTGCAGCAGGTAATTAAGAAGGCAAATGGAATATTGTCCTTCATTGCTAAAGGGATGGAGTTTAAAAACACCAAGGTTATGATGCAGCTGTATAGGGTGCTGATGAGGCCACGCCTGGAGAACTGTGTACAATTCTGATCTTCTTACTTGAGAAAGGATGTACCAGAGGGGCTGCAGAGAAGGGTCACGAGGTTGATTCTGGAGTTGAGAGGGTTGGCTTATTAGGAGAGATCAAGTAGACTGGGACTATACTCATTGGAATTTCAAAGAATGAGGGGAGATCTTATAGAAAAATATAAAATTGTGAAGGGAATAGATAAGGTAGAAGCAGGGAGATTGTTTCCACTGGCATGTGAAACTAGAACTAGGGGGCATAGCTTCCTAACAAGCGGGAGCAGTTTTGGACCAAGTTGAGGAGAAACTTCTTCACCCAAAGGATTGTGAAGAATCTGTGAATTGCCCAATAAAGCAGTTGAGGCTAGCCCATTGAATGTGTTTAAGGCAAAGATAGATTTTTGAACAGTAAAGGAATTAAGGGTTATGGTGAATGGGTAGGTAAGTGGAGCTGAGTGCACAAACAGATCAGCCGTGATCCTACTGAATGGCAGAGAAGGCTCAATTTCTTATGTTCTCTAGTTTACAGTGCTTCATTCTAGTTCTCTAGATGGTCAGTCATGCTTTTATCATCCCCACCTCATAATTCAACACCATCCGCAAACAACATTGACCATTGCACTTCCTATCTTGCTTGCTCAATTAGAATATTCACCACAATCAGGAAAAGGTTGGGATTCATGATTATTGGTGGAATCCAATATAGCTTCAAAGTTATCAGTCTACTTCATACTGCTTCATATGACTATTAAGGGATGTGTAAAAGGAGTATTAACTTCTCAGGAACTGTACAATTTTTATTACATCTTCAAACTCCTTGCTGAGGCATCTGATCATAAGCCTTCTCTAGCTTCATGAATACAACATTCATGTCGCATACATCTTTCCAATAGTTCTCTTTCACTTGCCCAGAGACAAAAATGACATCTGCGGTGCTTCTTCAGGGCATAAATTCCACTGACCTTGATGGATTTCTACCATTTCTCCTTAGTCTCTGGCCCATGATGCTCTCCTATATCTTGTAGGTATATGGTAGAAGTTTAATTGCTCAGCAGTTTCTGCAATCTTGAGTGTCTGTTACTTCTTAATATGTTAAATGTTGGGGAAACCAGCATCTCACTTTTGTAGTTCCTTCCTATGTGTTATTTTTGTAATCATGCTGTAGCCCTGCATATTATATATGCTATACAATATACCATTACTATAGGTTATAAGCAAGCTTCTTCACTTTTGGTACCACATTTGGTATTAGTATTTAGCATGGTTTAATATTAGCAGCTGGTAAGGCATGGCAAACCCGAGCATCTTGGCTCCTGTCATTTGCTTCTCCAAAACCATGACCACCAAGGATAGCCTAATATTCTTCTCTTTCACTCCCGAAGTGTCCAGTTAGGTCATTTGCCACCACTCGCCCCTCACTGCTCAGCAGTGTTTAAATTGCATTGACTATCTGCTCCTAGAATTTTTCTCAATAAAATATCATTTTTTAAAAAGGTCCCTCAACAGTTGGTCCAGACCTTTCAGTTCTTCAACTCCAGTGAATTTTAATATTTTCATATTCTATTTTATTTGTGCTTTTTTCCACAAAACGTACTTCCTTATCTATTAATCCGTGTTGAGTTACGTTTGCCATATCTAATATTTGCCCAATTTGCTCAGGTTCTCCTCTAATCTCCCGAAATAGAAAATATTTAATGACAAAACTTGTATGGTTAAAACTATTAATAAACTTGCAGGTGACAAGAATATGCAAAGTCATCTAGACCAAATTAATAAATCAGCTATTGGAATAAATAGTATGAGATGAAAGGGCTCACAAATGGCAAATTTCATTCAACATGAGCAAATGCAGCATTTTGAACTTAGGACTGAAATCTCCAAGCACATTTTAACTTACTTCATTGGAAATAACACTCAAACATTGTAATATGTTACTACAGAATGCTAACTGCCAAGTATTACACAGTAATGGTTAAACTAAAGCAAAAATCTAAACAGATCCTACATTACAACAATGACCACACTTTAAAAGTAATTAATTGGTTATGAAATGCGTTGGGACATCCTGAAATTGCAAAATATCCAATTCTATGAAGGTAACGTTTAACATTTTTAACTTTGTTTCTTTTACTACTTTGTACCGAAGTTTCTTGTACCTAGGTATCTTCGTACCTAAGATAGCTCTGTGTTGTGACATTACATACTTTTCGCTGTACTCCTGTCCTTCTGTACCTGAGTACATGATAATAAAGACTAAATCTAAAATCACAAAAGCAGGTTTTTTCTTTTCACAATTTTGAATTTTTTTTTAAAAAAAGCATACTTTTTTTTCTCCTCTGTTTGTAAAGTTGGTTGATCCATTGTGGCAGTTTCATTCTTTTTGGCTTTCTCTGATTGTTTCTTAAGCAGCTCTTCTTCAGCCAGGTACAGGTGTCGCAAATGATCTGGGTAATTCTCAGTAAACTGTATTTCTTTAGAATGCTGTACTTTCCTTTCTTTTCTCAATATTTTCTTATACTCATGTTTGATCTTCTCCTTCTGTTGGAAAGCAAAGCCTTGCCCTGTAAGAAGACAATACTATCAGAATTGTATCAACATCCTGACTGCTGTCAAACCCATATTAAAACTGAATTTATAATTCTCTCAATCATCACAATTTATCGAATTAACATGACATTTTTCTGTTTCCTAGAAGGTAATTAGAAACTTGGAAGCACATCATAGTAACACACATCACACAATGAACTCATGTGGTGAGCATAAATATTTAGATAGGAGGAAAAGATTAATAGCTAACATTTTAGATGACGTGTTTTCAGGGAACAATTTGCATGCTGCTGAAATTCCTGAAGGAGTTCATCTAGTTTGAATAGAAAATAAATGGATTGAGAAGATGAACAAAATTAAAATATGGAAAAAAGTGGAGGATAAAATAAAGGAAGCAAGCTTGCATATGACCTTAAGTAATAGTCATACAGCGTGGAAACAGACCCTTCGGTCTAACTAGTCCACGCCGACCATGTTCCCAAACTAAACTAATCCCACTTTGTCTGCATTTGGCCCATATCCCTCCAAACCTTCCCTATTCATGTACCCAACCAAATATCTTTTAAATGTTGTAACTGTATCTGCATCCGCCACTTCCTCTGGCAGTTCATTCCAGACGTGAGCCACTGTGTGTGAAAAGGTTGTCCCTCAAGTCCTTTTTAAAACTTTCTCCTCTCACATTAAAAATATGCTCCCGAGTTATGCCTCTCATGATTTTATAAACTTTTATAAGGTCACCCTTAACCTTCGCGCTCCAGTGAAAAAGGTCCCAGCCTATCCTTATAACTCAAATACTCTGTTCCCAGTAACAACCTGGTAAATCTCTTTTGAATCATCTCTAATTATATACTTCCTATAACAGGGTGCAAACAGTATTCCAGAACAGGCCTCACCAACATCCTGTACAAGCTCAACATGATGTCCCAACTCCTACATACAAAGGTCTCAGCAATGAAGGCAAGCATTCTAAATGCCTTCTTAACCACCCTATCTGTGACACAAATTTCAAAGAATTATGTACTTGAACCCCTAGGTCTTGTCGAAAAGACTACTCAGGCCCCATCATTAACTGTCTAAGTCCTGCCCTTGTTTGTTTTACCAAAGTGCAATACCTTACATTTATCCAAATTAAACTCCATCTGCCATCCCTCAGCCCATTAACCCAAATTCATCAAGACCCCTTTGTAATCTTAGATAACCTTCTTCACTGTCCACTACACGACCAATTTTGGTGTCATCCGCAAAATTACTTACAATGCCTCCTATATGCTCAGCCAAATTTTTTATATAAATTACCAACAAAAGTGGACTCAATACAGATCCCTATGGAACACTGGTGGTCACAGGCCTGCAGTCTGAAAAAGACAACCCTCTACCACCACCACCACGCTCAGTCACCTACTGTCACGTCAATTTTGTATCCAATTGGCAAGCTCATCCTGAATCTCATGTGATCTAACTTTAGTATATGTTTTTAATAGCAGAATGATCAAATTCATCATCAGGTCCAAATGCTCAACATGTACTTCTGACAAGACTGACTACGCAAGATTGAAATATACCACTTAAATTATGAGGGCAAATACACCTTCAGTTTGTAAATCAGACATTTGTCACATCTCACTATGGTAATGCACTGGAAATCATGTCCTAAAATTCCTAGTCGTTATCAAAGTTAAGGATTTTTAAAAGTCCTCAGAATTGCCTAATTTACCTATCGTTCAGACTAAGGTTGACAGAAAACATGGACCAGGTTTCTATACTTAACAAGAATTACCATTCATTACAAATAAATAGACTCTAGCTACAGGTAAACAATTATGAACTGTCACACATAACTCTACTATTAAAACTCTAATCCCATAACAAACAACCCCCTAACCACATACAGACAGCAAAAAAAAAAGCATCATGGGCAAAAGGAAAGACTAGGAAGACAGTTCAATGGTCCCAGTTCACAGGACTCACAGATGGTCCTTTGTGGCGTGACAGGACATGTTGCTCCCTGATTCTCTTCCTCCAGATATTTTCATTTGCTTTCAGAAGGCACAGAGTGGTTGGTTCACACTTATAAAGTCTCCAGCTTACTTAAGAGCCACAGCTTACAGCAACTGCTGAAGGAAAATAAATAAACTGATCTTCAGTTTTTAATCACAGACAAAAGATACAGCTCCTGTCCTTTCTGAAATCCAATGACTCCTGTCAAACATTGATGCAACCAAGTTGTTCAACTACTTGAGAGTCAGTCACACAGTTGTTGACTGGCAGAAGGCCTTTATCACTGATAACTAGTCAGTAGTCCACGGACAAATCAGCTCCTTGTTCCTGGTCAAATTTTAATGCACACACAGACCCTGCTCCACCTCGTTTGGAACTAGGCTTCCACTACTGGTTGAACCAGCAGCTGCGTAAATAGCATTTACAATAGATGCCCAATTACTTACTTTTAAAGTGCAGAAATGCCTGGAGTTTAAAACAGTTTGTTTGTCCCATTTCAGTCCACAATCACAGGACAGAAAAATAAAAAGATAGGGTCTTTACATGTTTGTTGTTCATTTTTTTCAATAATTTATTCAGAAAAACATTCCACTCTGCTCAGAAAATTTTATGGCTTCCTTTTCCTCGCCCTCTTGCCTTCATTTTCAACTGATCTTTCTTTGTGATTTCTCCCAACCTACTGCTTGATGGCATCACAGAGCACACTTTCCCCTTATTATCCACAAAACTCTTTCCCATAGAAAAGAAGCACAGGGGATGCAACAACTGACCTCTCATCTACTCCATTCACACCACCCATGTACCCAACAATTGTCCCAAGTGAAACAGTAATTTATTTTATTGCTTTTAATTTAGTATACACAGTTATTCACTACTAACAGTCCAATCTTCCACACATTGGAGATTATATATTGGGTAACACATATTGCTATTCAGAGACATCTTTGCTCATAGTTAAGGACGTTGCCACTGTGCAGCAAGATGCCCCTTGGAGGTGAGCAGGGGATGGGATGATGTGTGGATAACCTGCAACTGTTTGCCGTCAATGCTCAAGGTGAAAACAGTCACTTGGAACGAGTTCCTAAGGAGATACGGGTAATTTTTGATATTTTTAGCAGTTGCAATGAGCCACGTGGAGCCTCCGGGCTTGCTCTACCACTCAATAAGATGATGGCAGATCTTACAGCTTCAGCTCCAACTTTCTCCAGTACCCCCTAACTGTCTCGGCGGAGAACACTGGTGGGATTACTTCTTGCTGCGAACTGATTGATGGAGGTTAATTGTTTTGATTAAAAGTTATAACCCAGCTATTATTTATCGTTACTGCAGGTTAGCGAAGGGTGAAATAAAAACAGAAACAATTCTGAAGAAGGGTCACTGAACCCGAAACATTAACTCTGCTTTCTCTCCACGGGCGCTGCCAGACCTGCAGAGTTTTCCCAACAATTTGTGTTTCTGATTTCCATCATCAGCAGCTCTTTGGGTTTTTTTTTAAAAGAGTGAACTCGACGGACCTCGGGCCTTTGGGCGGACGCTGCAGCCAAAAACGCAAGGGGAGTCCTCACCTTCTCTAACACTGCCCCAACCTTTCTTGGGGTGATTCGTTTTCCACCGCTGCTTTTGTTGTGACCTCTGCCGGCCTCTGGAACCCGGGCCGGGAAGAACTTTCTTCGTAAAGGAGCTGCCATCCCTGTTCCTCGAGCTGGGCGCCATAATGGAAACGTCATCAATCTGCGACTGTGCGCACAGCGACGGGGAAAGGGAGACGGCAGCCGCGAGCGATCAAACTATCCTGTGGGGGAACGCGGAGCCACGGTCTCTGTAATCTTGTGTCGAGCTTTAACGGTCACTGTAGTGGAATATTTCCCCAAATTAAGGACAAAGTTTTTCATTTTCCTGAGTTTCAGTCCCCGGTTTCTGGTTAATTTGTGCTTTGGGAGGCCTAGACCAGGCCCGCAGCCGACTCCATTCACGATGCTGTTCCCCGCGGATGTCGGTTTAGACCTGGTCAAGAGCAAAATCAAAATCCTCACCGAGTTCCTGGACGTTTACCTCAAGATAGCAAACGTGCACACAGTTGATTTTTACACCAAAGACGTTTGGAATCAGTTCGTAGCCCTACCGCCTGAAACTGTCATATCACAACTGCTCTGTCAGCAGGGAGAAACTCCTGTACAGGGTAAGGAGCAGTTGTATCAACTGACCATCAGTGAATGGAACAAGAGTTTTGTTGATAATCTGTACCAAAACAATACCAAAAGAAGTTGAGCATTTGGTTCCTGTCACTAATATTGGAATACCTGATGACGTGTTGGGTTAACAAACGTTCAAAATACCTGGTATTTACAGACTGTTTTTCACAGTGTAAGAACATCCCTAACTTTCACAAAAGCACTTCTGAAGTGTAGTCACTGTAGTTAAGTAGGATGCAGGAGTTAAGGGGCTGGATTTTCTTGTGGCCTTTGAGACCCCAGTGTTCAGACCAAATGGAGGACCTCAGTCTGCGCTTGCTGGCAGCATTAACGGCTTTGCAATTGTCTAGAAGGTGGTTAATGTGCAGGAGTTGGCAGCTTACATATTTGCCATCCTTTTAAGGACCAGGACCAGGCTTTAAATGGTGCAAGCCCAATCAGAAGGCAGGCTGGAGAAGTGGGCTGTGCGGAGCCAGGTTGGGGAAAGCAATGGTTCCTCAACATGGAAAGGAGCCAACAAGAAAGGTTGCAGTAAAACTTTTGGACAAGGACATTGGAAAACCTTTCCACAGGATTAGGTCTGATCGCCATTGCAGCCTTTTGTTCCCACAATGCTATCATTGAGACTTCCATCTCCATGGAGGCTGGCTCCAAAAATTTGGCTTTCCCTGCGTTATGTTTGTGGGATACTATGCCAGTGGGAAAGTTTCAGCAATGCCATGAAACTACCTTTAGTTAAAGCTTTAACCACCTTAATTGGCTACCTCTCTCCAATCTGTATCCACAGGGCTGGGACAATCCAGCTTAATTTGTGCACAGCAGGATTCCACAAAGAATAGTTCAATGAATGAATCTTGTAGCACTTTATCTGAAGATGTGAGGGGAGGACATATTATCCCTCAACCTTCACCAAACAAACAGGTAATCTGGCCGTTTATTTATTTGGGAGCTTAGTGTGTGTAAATAGGTTGCTGTGTGGTATAAAATTGAGAATCATCAAAACATTGCACAACAAAGGGAATAAAGTGTAATTCTAATTACACTGGATTTGAACCTCGAATCCAATTTAGATTAATGACATTTATTACCATGCTTACTGGAAAGAGCCTTAAACCTAATTTAGATTGCAAAAGGAAATACTAGCAATGAAATAGGCAGTATGAAATCAAATCTGAAAATAAAACTACAAATGGTGAACAGGTCAGAAGGCATTTGTGGAGGGAGAAATATTTCCATTCCATGTCCTTTCATCAGAACTAGCAGAAGTTAAAGATGTGACTGCTGTTCTTAAGATTACAGCACAGCTGCACATACACTTATTTTAAAGGAACTACTGCTTCTGCATTACCTTTTTGCCTATTGCTCATCACATTCCCAACTGTGATGCAACTTAAAGAAATTGTTAGATGTATCTTGTTTGAACAAATATGGAGGCTGGGAAAGTGGAGTGGGAAGGGAAAAGCAGAAATATGTGATAAAAAGGAAAGCAGGAGAGAAATTTATGATGCTTCAGATTTCTTACAAAAAAGTAGTGGCTCCATTACTGTGTCTAGTAAAAACATTAATTTGTCTACTTTTGCCATGCTATTAATTTAGGCAACTCCAACAGTGCTGTGAAAAAGACATTGTTAAAGTGTAAATTATTTTGAACTGTCTTTTGAGATTGACATCACTACCAGATATAGTTTCATGTTTGGTGGTGTAATGATTTCATACTGTGAGTACCTTCTGCCATGCTACCTCATTCAAACATACTGACATTTTTCCTCTTCCAAGATTATTCTAAACAGGCATGTGGCCATTACAATGTGCCATCCAGGGGCTTGCCAATTCTGAATAGGTCTGCAGGTGATAGGAGATCGGAAAAATGTCAGGCGCACTAAGGATGCCAGCAATTTTGTTAAGTATAGTGTGGCTCCAATTGTAGAAAACTAAGTTACTCTATCAGAGGATATTGCACATTATAAACTTATGCCCGGTGTTGTGTATATTCCAGGAAACTTACAAAATTTAATCTTTTTCAAGGGGCACTGTGGTACATAAAAGAATAACAGAGGGTTCCAAAGGATGTATCTTGAAAATAGGGTAGATGATTAGTGTGAAATAACTTTAAATCGTTCACATATGAATTTTCTTGGGGGCCAAATGTCCTCTCACATTGTATATTTCAAGATAAAGTAGGTGTTGTTTTTATGGTCGCTGCCATTCAGTTAAAGGTGTACTGATTGTGCAGAGAAAGTACATGTAGGTAGATGCTGATATTGGAGATCCTTTGATACTGGATATAAAACAAACTGTTTCATCAATTAGTGTTTGAATCTTCCACCATGAGAAACCTAAAATACTCACTTGTAAAAGAAAAAAATTAGTTAAAATTACAAATTATTTTTTCAGGATTACATTTTAAGATGCATTTTTTACAACACATTTCTTACATCTGACCATTTTGGTTAAAAAAAAATCCACTTCCTTACTGTCATAACTGTCTGAGACACAAACACAGTTAACTGCTTAATCATTGCCCATTTCTCCATTCCTTAGATCTGAAGCGGTGATGTTTGTTGATGATTGTAAAGTTTTCATGATTGAATTAGGCCATGCGTGCCTCCTGCAAAATCTGGACAACATTCAACCTTGGGCTAATAAATGACAAGTAACAATCATGTCACAAAATGTCACACAGTGACTGTCTCCAACAAGGGAGAATCTAAAAACCTGCCATTCATGAAAAATATCATAACTGAATCCCCTACTCATCAACAGCTGGGGTTTAGCATTGAACAGAAAGTTTATGTAAGTCGTATAGTTACAGGAGCCAGTCAGATGCGGAGAATAATTTACCTGCTGACTCTCCAGAGCATGTCTACCAGATACGAGATAGTTTTCCTTCGCAGTCCTAATTCTATCACTACCTGTCTGGATTATTGCAGCTTTTCCTGCCATCAAGAAGCTCAACTCCATCCAAACAAAAGAAGCTTGCTTGATTGGCATCCCACCTACCAGTTTTAACATTTACACCCTCCAGGGTAAAACAACCCACAGGCATATAAAATAGCTGAACAGAACAGATGCAGAATGCTATGAGTAATGATTGATGATGCCTATAACTGACTACAAATATGAACTGGAAATTTTGCACCAAAAATCACACTACCTAAACACTACGGACCAGCAATGGATTATAACTCTAGAACAGGCCATCACCATCAAACAACACAGGAGCAAAACTAAGAAGAGACACAAGCTACAGGAGAAACTTACCAAACTGATCCACCACAAAGACAAGGACAACAACAAACTGGACACATCGATAAGAAACCTATCCAGCAGTCAACTCACAGAAGCTAAGAAAGCTGTCCTATTACACAGACTGAACTATAACCACAAAGATACGAACAGAACAGACTTCACAGTCGCCCTGGAAACTACATTAAAAGACTCTCAGACTCACGGATGAAACACAACAAGCCATCTGACAAACTATAATCCCCACACTAAACCAAAGGAACGAATGGGACACCCTGAACACATCAGAGAGAAAAGCACCAGAAAAACTCAGGAATGACAAGTCCGTTATAATCCTACCAGCGGACAAGGGCGCATGACAATCATTATGAACAAACCGGACTATGTTGAGAAAGTACAGGCAACGCTCGCAGATACAAACACTTACCAACAGGTGGCGATAGTCCCAACACTGCAGCTAGGTAATAGGATCACTCAGACACTGAAAAGACTAAGGGATGCAAGGCAGGTAACCAAGACGTACTGCATGAGAATGAAACCAGAAGGCACGAACACCCTTCGCTTCTATGGATTTCCTAAAGTACACAAACCAGACATCCCCCTCAGACCCATTGTCTCCCAACTGGGCACACCTTCACACAAACTGGCCAAGGACAGAGACTGAAACACCTAGTCGACGGATCACCCCATTGCATCGACTCAATCCAAGAATTCCTCAATACCCTTAAGAGCATAAATATCAGCAACGACGAGATTATGGTATCCTTTGACATCAAAGCGTTATTCATGATATCCCACGAGCCAAAGAAACTCTGGCCACATTACTAGAGGAAGCAGGAACGTAGACCAGCAGCTCCATCAGCAATGACAACATACTCAAACTACTAGACTTATGCCTCACCACACACTTCATCTTTAATGGTCAAGTATACAAACAGATCAATGGCACACTCGTGGGATCACCCATCTCAGGACTCATCGCAGAGGCAGTCATGCAAAGTCTAGAACACACTACTCTCCCCCGCATTCAAACCAAACTGTAGATCAAGTATGTGGACGACACATTTGTCATCATTAAATGCACCGAACTAGAAGAGACACACCACCTCATAAACAACGTATTCCCTGGGATCAAATTCGCAAGAGAAGAAAAAAACAACAGTTAGCTTCCATTGCTGGATGTCAGAGTTGAACGAATGACCAACAGGGAGTTCCAAACCTCTGTATACAGGAAAGCAACCCACACTGGCCACATCCTCAACTTCCACAGTAACCACCCCAACATCCACAAACAAAGTTGTGTTAGGACACTATTTAAGTGGGCCAGCACTCACTGCAACACGCCAGAACTATGCAGGAAAGAGGAAAAACATCTATACAAAATCTTCACTATGAACGGATATACCTTCATCCACAGGTGCCTACTAAATAGACAACAACAAGAGGACACAGTACACCCTAACACACTGGCCACACTGCCCTACATTAAGAACATATCAGAACTGACAACGAGACTCCTACGACCACTAGGAATCATGGTAGCACACAAGCCCACAACCGCTCTACGACAAACACTCACAAGGATTAAAGACTACATTCCCACAACATGCAGAACCAACATAGTTTACAAAATTCCATGCAACGACTGCCACAAGCATTATATTGGATAGACAGGAAGGAAACTAGCCATCAGAATTCACGAATATCAGCTAGCAGCAAAACAACACAACAAACTTTCCCTAATATCAGTACACTCGGACAATGAAGGCCATCAGTTTAATTGGGACAACATAATCGTAGTAGCCCAAGCCAAACGTAGACACGCACGGGAATTCCTAGAGGCAGTGTTCTTAACCCATAATGCAATCAACAAACATATAGAATTGGACCCCATACACAAACCCATACAGAACAAAACTGGAAATGACACAACTCACCATAACGGACTGGACAGTATAAATTTCAAGCAGAATAGAACAACATCCCTTCATCAGAGGCCTCACTGATGATGTTAGCTAGCGTGGTGATGAAACATCTGAACAAAAACAAGCCAGCTCGGCGAGCAAGTCAACAATCTCACCCATAATCCGAGCTACAAATCTTTCCTAAAACATTAAAAATTTACACCCTCCATCACTATCATGCAGTGTCAGCAGTGTATACCATCTGTAAGTATTAATTCGCCAAGGTTTATTTGACAACACCTTCCAAAGCTGCAACCCCTACCACTAGAAAAACAAATGCTGTTTTTTCTGTGATGCTCTTATACCATAAATTAATCTGAAAATCTATTTATATTTTGATTGGGCATAACTTACAGTTGTGCAGAGAAACTTCTTGTTCCAAAGTGTTAGGTAATTTCGTTTATCTCTCTCACATGTATTAACAAATTACATGAGACAAATACTAACTGAAGGTAATTCCAGAACCTTAATTTCAATAAAGCTTTGCTTTAATGTTGTAAAACAGTATTTTACTCTGAATGCTAAAATTACTCTTCATGCCTCTAATGTTTCTGGCAAATTACATTTTTTACAGCTATGTACTCTATATTCTTCATTGGCTCTGTAAAGAATAGTTCTTCAGACTCTTATGCAGAAAAAAAATGTGGATTTGGTACTATGAAAGGCACAATGGATCCAGTGTGCACCAAATAATTAATTTTTTTTTGTATTTTCTTTTCTAAGCACTAATGGTAATTAGAACTAAGATTTAGTCTATGCTTAAACTTTATCTTTATTCATGACCAGAAAAAATGGGTGTCTCAGTTTGGGATGAGTCCCAAAAACTTAAAGATGTGGCTGCTTACAAGAGAGTTACTCAGGACCACTCCCTGCCAAACCTTGGAGTATGCACCGCACTGGATGACCTGATACAGGAGATGTGGGGAAATAAGCAAAAAGGTTTGGAAATCTGTTTTGTGTTTTTTTGTGTAAAATGGACTGCTGCGCATATTTCACATGTACAGCACAGTTTGGTCAATGTCCTCTTTATGCTGCTCGGAATGCCTTCTTCCACTCTCACCTTCTCATCCTATTAGTTTAATCTTCAATTCCTTTCTTCCTTGCATTCTACTCTAGTTTCCTCTTAAACGTATCTATGCTATTCATCTCAACTTTTCCTGTCAGTAATTAGTTCCCAATCTAACCACCGACTGAGTAAAGAAGTTTCTGCTCAGTTTTTCACTGGACTTATTCGTGTATAGCTTATCATCATGGACCATAGTTCTGGTCTCCCTACAACTGGAAAGTTCTTTTCTACCTCTATTTATCATAGACTTAAAGTAATTTATTAGGTTACTCCTTAGCCTTCACTCTGTAGTTAAAAACTAGTCTAAGTAAGCCGCACTCAAGTTAAAATGATTTATTAAATTTTGTATTATGATGTTGTTATTTTGTATGTCGGTTTTCCTGTTAATTCATTAGTTAATATATTCACTTTGTTTCAGATCTGATAAAATATACAATTTTACCATCTTGTCTTTACTCCAAAACCAAGTTAGCTTTTGACCCACCATGTCATTTTCAACATTTTTCAAATTTCATATTTTCTGATTTATCTCACAAAATATCTGATTTCTTCTTAACGTTATTTAGTTTTGAAACTTATTTCAACATTTTCATGTGCCCTTTCTTCTATTATTTAATATTATATCACTATTTTTTATTACAATCATAAATCATGAGCTTTCCAGTTACATATCAAGTAACTTTGTACAGGATACCATGTCTATTTTGAACTTGGACTGTTATTGAATTTTCTGTTGTATGTTCTATGATATTGCATATGGTTTCAAGGAGGGAATTTTTTTCTCTGATACACTGGAAACAGAGGGATTTTGTAATGGTGTGTTTTGCCTCATGTTTTGGTGTTCTAACTCCACATTGTATGACTTCAGGCTCTCCCCCCGAATGTCAATTTGATTGGCAGGCTTTGGTTACAGTTGGATGGGCATCATTCTAGTAGACGTCACAGGACCAGATAGGCCCAATTCCTAATCCTGAGGTTGAGAGTGGTCCCAAACTTGGGAAAAATGTGGATTGAGGTGCTATTAATTGGTCCTTGATATCATGTGGCAGCATATGGAGGGGAGTAGGGGTACCATCTCAGGACCGGTTTAATGCCAATGGGAAGTCCAATCTTTGACCTTAGCGATGTGGTTTCTGATTCCTGTCAGTGAATTGCATGTTCTTTTGGGGGGTTGGAAAGTGGTTAGTGGGTTCAGGGTCTGATTATGGGTGAACTTCAGGTCTATGAAAGCCAGTTAAATTGGAGGCTTCCAAAAATTTAAAAAAACTGAGTACACTTCGTGATACAACAGGGAACTGGCACATCACGCTGTTTGATATTTAGTCGTAAGCCTGTATAATTCATTTAACTTTACAAAAGTGATAAAGAAACAAGAAAAAATACAAAAGTGGACCATGTGATATTTATGCTGCATACGTGCTGTGATCCTAATTTCAAGCACCCATTTTGCTGTCATATCCATTTGCATCAACCACTGAGGTAAGCTGATTTTAAATATTGACATGGTACAGAAACTTCCTAGGCCCTGAGCTATTTGGGCTATGGTGACAAATGTGGGCAAATTGCATGAGGTGTCAAGTGAGGCCTGTCTCAATGTCGAGACTGACAAGTTACATTTTCCAATTAAATTTCGTAGTGAGGAAGGTCGACAAAGGAGACAGCAGAACATAGACCAATTGGAAAGTTGGTTGGAGAAATGGCAAATGAGGCTTAATCTGGACAAGAATGAGGTTATGTGTTTTGGGAGGACAAATGCAAGAGTAAATTATATAGTAAATCACTGTCTGTGTGCAGTTTGCATGTTCTCCCTGTGTCTGTGTGGGTTTCCGCCGAGTGCTCCATTTCCTCCCACAGTCCAAAAATATGCAGATTGCATGGATTGGCCATGCTAAATTGCCCACAATGTCCAGGGATGTGCAGGCTAGTTGGATTGGTCCTGGGGAAATGCAGGTTACATTGATGGGGCTTGTCTGGGTGGGCTGCTCTTTACAGGGTCAGTGAAAATTCAATGGGCCAAATGGCCTGCTTCCACATGTTGGGATTCTATAAATTCGATATAATAACAAACTTGGAAATACCAGGCCATTAGGAGCACTGATAAACAGAGGGATCTTGGGTGCAAGTCCACAGATCTCTGAAAGTAGCAACACAAGTGGATAAGAAGGTAAAGAAGGCTTGCGGTATGCTGGCCTTCATTGGTTGGGGCATTGAGTATAAAAGTTGGCAACAGAGTCTATGTCCATGAGTCTATGTCTAAGTCATGTTGCAGCTGAATAAAACTTTAGTTAGGCCACATTGTATTACTGTATGCAGTTCTGGTCACCACACTTTAGGAAGGACTGTGAAGGCTTTGGAGAGGGTGCAAGAGAGGTTTACCAAGATGTTGGATTGGAATGTAGTAGTTATAAGGAAAGATTGGACAAACTTGCATTATTTTTGCTCAACATTGAAGGCTGAGGGGCAACCTGATACAAGTATATGAGTAAAATTATGAGGGGCGTGAATAGTTGGAGTCTTTATACTAGGTAGCAAATGTTTAAGGTGAGAGAGGAAAAGTTTAAAGGAGATTGCAAAGAAAGGTTTTTATACAGAGGGTGGTAGGTGCCTGGAACGCACTGCCAGTGGAGGTGGTAGAAGCAGATACGATAGCAACATTTAAGAGGCATTTAGACAGACTAATGAACAGGCAGAGAATAGAGGGCTACGAACCATGTGTGAATGGCATTAGTTTAGAATGCCATCATGGCTGGCCAGGACACGGTGGGCCGAAGGGCCTGTTCTTGTGCTGTACTGTTCTATGTTCTATGAGACGAGATTCTCGCTTGTGAGTGATGAGAGCTTGGTAACAGGAATTGTTACTCATTGTCACCCTCATTATAACTTTATCTCACCTCATTAACATGAACTGTACTGTCCTATTTTACCACCCGCCATTTAGAAACTAGAGGGCACCAAGAAATCCTGAGATGAAAGTCAGAGCAGTTACCTAGCGATTAGAGATTACTGCTTGCTCCTTTGCATGTTCAGCAGCTGCATGCACCCCATGGCCATGGATACTGGCATCCAGCATGTGTTAGCCTCTAAGCACCTCTCCTCTGATCCACTTATAGTACACTCAGTACTTTAATTCTACACTTTGGTGCGCAATAGCATCTCTCATTGGATCTCTGCTGCAACGACAGACACCCAGCTCAAGATGGCAAGATTGGATCAGGCAGCATCCCAGGGCCGCTCCCTCATTCTCTTAGTGCTCATTCACTTTGTGTTTATCTGGGTGCTCAAAGTATCCCTGCAATGCCTGGCCTAATAGTGTTTTGCCTGAAAGCCAAACTTTTAAGGCTCATGCCACTTCAGCCTTGCTGTGTGCCTTAATGTCAACACAAAGACAGCCAGCCTGACCTGTTGGTCACTAATCATCAGTTAAGAGCTGGATATGTTGCTGCACATCATTGTGCTAATTCAATCTCATAACAAAAGTATGTGCCAGTAGCCTATGTGACAAATACCCTGTGTGTGCATCAACTAAATGTCCATATCTCAAAATTGAAGGGGATTGCCCTCACTCAGGTCAAGGGGGATCACTGTTAATTAGCGGTTCCTAGTGCACTTAAACAAGGGCAGCATGTGCTATCAATCCAGGGGCATGGACATGATCAGGCAGCTGCTGGGAGCAGTCAGGGCCAGAGAGTCACTACAGTCTGGGGAGTGGCCATGGACAGTCCACTAAGTCATGTGCATGTGGTCAAGAGATTAGTGAATCATTACTTAGGGAGATTCACGGAAACGCAGAGATCAGTCAGGGGTCTGGTCAATCTTCAGTTCTTAGAGGTTTTGTGATGGGGGAGAACCTGACAACCAGGCTTATGGTGTCCAATGTGACGTACATTGCCTTCCATGATCTGTTGAATGTTAAATGCAATCTATGAGGGGAAAATGACTGCAATCACGTGTGGAGTAGCTGTCTATTTGTTGGCCAAAATTGCAGGCTCCACTTCTGTGTAACAGGAGTATGTTCAAGGGTAATTGCTTCAGTTGTACACTTACAGAGTGCAGGTTGAAATCGCTAACAATCATATCATCATGCATATGAAATAAAGGCATTGCACGACCGCATTGGTGCAAATGTTGGCCACAAGCAGTGTTAACCATGTCATTGGTCCTTGCAGATAGATATCTGTGTGAAAGTAATCCCAGGCACCCTTAAAAGAGTCATCTGTGGGCTTCAAAGCACCCAGTTAATGCAAGACCACCTAGATGCACAAAAGCCCAGAACTGATACCCTTTCAACCTGAACTGTGAGTCTCATGCAAAGTGCTCTGATATGTAATAATGCCAATCGTGCATGACGTTGGACTGAAAGGAAATGAGTTCAGCACTCATGAAGCACTACACTCTCCAACTGTTTCATTGCCACATGATTGGTGGTGTGCATTAGTTAGAAAACAGTCTAATGCCAAAATTCCAAAAATAATCATTTTGTGAACTTCCTTGTTAGAATGCTCCATGTCACACTGTTGGAGGAAAATGTTAAGCCATCATTTGTAAGTGATGTGAATGCTGACTGCTTACATTACTAAGGACCTGTTTTGCTTCTTCTGGTCCCCACACAAGTTAATTGCAAGTGTCACCAGTCATAGCAGGGCTTATCATCATTTTTCTGCAATGCAATGATGGTGCAGAGAAATGGAAAAAGAGCTGACGCACCAGCAAGCCCAGGACAGGAAGTAACCTCCAGCAGAGATCTGACAGCCTCCACGTGAAGAGATTGCAGCTGAAGGTCTCTGCAGAATGTCCAGGAGTTAGAGGCCAAAAAGTTTCATCCCCAATGCCATTTTCTCCTGATGAGTGAGGCACAGTGTTTGCGCAGGCTGGCGATGTCGAGGGATACTGTCCCTAAACTATGCTGAGTATCCCTTAGGCATACAGCTGCTTTGAACATTCATGCAATTGACTTCTTTCAAGGAGCCACTGGGGACCTGTGTGGAATTTCTCACTTATAGCTGATGTATTTCTGGGTGGATAACTGATGTCATTTGTGCCAGATCACATTGCTTCATCTCATTTCCTCATAACGAGGTCAGTGCTGCAGCCAGGCATAGGCTGTAACAACATAGCTGGCATCACCTAGGTGCAGGGTACAAAATACTGTACACCATATCATAATACAGCTGCATTCATCAATAGAAAAGGTTTTCAGTCCTTCATTGTGCAAGTCATCTGTGATCATTGGTTCCACATCTTAGAAGTTTGCATCGGACAGTTGTCACTGTATCATTATTCTTGAGACCGCTGACATTCGTGTTGCATTTGAGTCCAGCTTTATAAGGATAGAGAGTAGGGCTACCCACTGCAGCCTTGGCTGATGAGTCTTGTGCAATCACTTGACTGAAAAGGAGTCTCGAAGCACTGCAGCCCATTTTTCAACCATGGTCATGCTGGAGCAGATGATAAGCCTGCTGCAGCTGAGGTTCTGCTGCTTGGACCAATCTAATGGGTTCTTGCAGTATATTCCAGACAAAGTGTGCCACATAACCCTCACCTTTGGTGTTATGTACAACTGGAGCAGGCACCAAGGAAATGTTCGGACTAGGTGAATGTAGCAGTCCTCTTCTGAGGGGAATTAGGACTTTGAGCTGCAGAAACACCACCTTGTGCATTGTAGACCACAGCATCGTCCGGCACTACAAATCACGCAGGAGTTAATTGACATGCAGTTACAGTCGATGAAAGCTGGTTGCAGTGATCCTACAAAAAAATGTTAATGTTCAACATGCAAACAGTTTGTTTCCTTTCTGGGAGGTTAATATAGCTTCTGTTTGTTTGATTTTTGTTTGTTTTTGGTGTAGATTGAACTGAATGTTTTGAAATGACTGGTTCATTTATGTGATGGTCCCACATTCAACAGTGACGAGTTGGTGTATTGCACATTGGGGAAACAGAATCACTGACACAGAGAGGGTTGTCAGATGGGAGGTGGCTCAGGACAGGTGACCTGTGTGGCCTGGTGCTTGAACAGCAATAGCCATAGGAATGTATAGTTGTATGTGCATTGAAGTGCCAGCCATGCCACCTATCTGCTGTGAGAATTGTTGGTTTATGGCTTCTGTGTCAGTGAAGGCCACACTGGACTGCCCAATGCAGGGATATCCAACAGTGGCGAATACTTCTGGCTACTGTGAGTGCAAAAAATCTGGCTCACATTTGATGAGGGGGGTGCCAAAGCTAAGTAGTAGGTAGTTAATGAGGCAAGTGGGACAAACCTGCTGACCTCATGCAGAGAAATCCTCAGTGAAACTTGACAAAAATGGCATTTTGCCAAAATATAGGACAATTCAATCCATTGTCACAGCTTCAGACAATAATCCTGGTAGTAAAATTCAAAGCATTACCACCGTCAGCAAAAATGTTAGTCTTGTTACCTGTCTTAAATCTTTACATTCTATTTTTAACTACCGTACACCAGGTTTTCATAGTTGTGTACATTTCACTTCATCCTGCAATCAGTTCTGTTCTTGCAAAAACAGCGCTTTCTCCATATTTTTATTTCCTCATGACAAGGTCGAGGGCCCTTAAGAATGGCTGGAAGGTCACTCAAAATATGGTCCAACCAGGAAGAGCATAAGCCCATCCTGTTCACACCTGGATTTTACAATTGCATTTTATAACAGGAGTTGCATCCACATTTGTATGTTTGTATGTAAGAAGCTTAAGCACTATTCTATTGGAACACTGATGACTAAAAACAACCCAAGTATATATAGCGTCTTGTGCATTTCTGTTGAAATCAGGCACAACAGGTTGCAAAATTAGGAGACCTAATGCCATTTTACAGGTTGTTGTAAAGTTAATTTCTTCCTCTATGTCACTATAAAGTGTTCTTTGATGTAAGTATTATTTTGTTACATAATGTGATTACAAGTTGTATTTCTGAAATGATAAACATAGGAAATCTGTGTAAAGATGAGACAATTTTAATTATTTTGGCAAAAGAGAATTTCAATTTTTTTTTCTTTCTTCTCAGATGTATTCCTAAAACCCAGCACATTTATGAGTTCAAAGAAGTCCCATGAGGTTGAGTTGATGTCTGAAGTCATTGTATCTTTTGCCAAGTATTGCAGTATTCAACAGGTAAGAGAACTTCCAATCATTTTAATCAGGTAGTCACGGGAAAATTTCCAAGTCTGTTTAAAGAACCAGTTTTCTCAAAGCAGTGTGTCCCTGAAGTTGCTGATCTTGCCTTTTTAATCTAACTGACATTGAATATGCAAAGAAAACACAATGCTTAGTTTCTGAATAAAAACCAAAAGAACTGCGGATGCTGTAAATCAGGAACAAAAACAAAGTTGCTAGAAAAGCTCAGCAGGTCTGGCAGCATCTGTGAAGGGAAAAAACAGAGTTAATGTTCCTGGTTCAGTGATCCTTCCTCAGAACACAATGCTTAATTTCTGAATTTATTTTTGCTTTCATTGAGGTTCTTTCTGTATAAATATGAGATGGTGTGGCAGTAGTTTTGGTGGAATACCAACATTTTCAGCTTCCATGAAATTAATATGTGATATATCTTGGTGATGTAGCAGTTAGTATCTGGTAATCATGCAAATTTAGAACTTGGTGCAAAGATGGTTGTACTAAGAAACACTAAATCTGTTCCCTAAACTCTCCATACGTAATTGAGACGATTTTATCTATTGCATCGGAACCATGTTTGGCAGCCTTGCTGATTTTAATAGCTAGCCCTAATTAGCATACTGCTTCCTGATTGAAAGAGATGGGAAGCGGCTGCTTAGATTTTAAAATCAGGAACTCAAAGACATTGCCAGTAAGGTGCCAGCTCTATGTCTAGTTCTGGGCAATAATGGAGATTTGATCATATGACAATTTGATCACGTAACATCTGACCACATGAAATTTCATTGTGCTATTTAAACACATGGCCTCTACAAACATTATTACAGAATGATGGAAGGGTTATGATGCAGAAAGAGGCCATTCAGCCTATTGTGCCTATAGGGAGTCAGGAGGTGAGTTACTCACCGCAGTATTTGTAGCCTCTGACCTGCTCTTGTAGCCATTGTTTATGACTACAGTTGAGATTCTGATCAATGATAACTCCCAGGATGTTGATAGTGGGGATTCAGTGTTTGTAACACCAATGAATGTCAAGGGGCGGTGGTTAGATTGTCTCTCACTGGTGATGGTCATAGCCTGGCATTTCTGTGGCACGAATGTTACTTGCCACTTGTCAACCCAAGCCTGGATATTGTTCAGATCTTGTCGCATTTGGACATGGACTGCTTCAGTGCCTGAGGAGTCGCAAATAGTGCTGAACGTTGTGCAATCATTGATGAACACTGCCCCCAGATCTCCCAACAAAATACACGTCAATGGCTACTACACAGAAAAAGCACTTATGATACGGGGAATAACAATAATATAATAAGAAACAGGTTATAGAGATAAGTCAGTCATTTTTGAGATGGAAACAAGCTATCTAATGGTGCAGTACAGGGATGAGGGCTGGAGGCTCAATTGTCTGCAATTTATACAAATGACTTGCATAAAAGGACTGAATGTGTAGTTTCTAAATTTGGTGATGAAATAAAAACAGGCAGGAAAGTAAGTTGGGAGGACAGCATAAGGAGGGTATAAAAGGATATGGATGGATTAAGTGAATGGGCAGAATTTTTGCTATTCATTACTTTTACTTGTGTGCTGACAGTTGTGCAATGAGTTTTGAGAGCGTGGAGGCCACCCACAAAGAAAGTGAAGAAAGGAGACTGACAGTGGGCAAGGCAGTAAACTGACAGTGGGGAAGAGGGGTTCCTCAGGAACCTATCATTTTAGAGAAACTCTGCTTAAGTTCCCTGAGTGACATGAAGACACATCAGGACCACACATCAAGAGCTTGACGTTTAATTTAAAATTCTGAGCAATGTTTATCAAAATTCTAAAATATAATCCAAAATCTAACGCTTGCCATCCTGATCCTATAGAATTAGTAATAGCTTTTTAGAATTAGAATTAGCTTCATTGTCACATGTATTCAAATAAGCATAGTGAAAAGTTTACAAATTGCCACTTATGGTGCCATCTTGGATACAAAGGTACCTAGGTACAAATTCTAACGTGAAAAAAATTAGAAAAATAAAGAAATAAGTGTCCAGCCTTACAGATCATAGGAACAAATTAGAAAAATAAAGAAGTAAAAGGTTCAAAATAACAGTCCTTCCAACCCTGTCCATGCTGGCACCTAGCCTCTAGTCTGCGACAGACCTTGAGACTCTTGAGGCCAGGAGACTGCTCTGGAATCTTCTCAAGGCCAGAGGTCCATGCTGGGCTGAAAGTCCGCCACACTGAGCTGCCAAGAGACCACTATGGTGGGCTGGGAGACTGCCGCACTGGGCCGTCGAAAAACCACCGTGCCGGGCCAGGAGACAGCCATGCCAGGTTGAGAGATCGCCACACCGGGTCCGCACTGAGGCCAAGAGTCCGAGTTCATACTGAGGCTGGGCGTTTGCCAAGAACAAAGAAGGAAAAAAAATCACAAAAGATTAAAAATAAAGAGGAGAAAAAATGAAAAGAAATGATTGGAGTGGATGAGCTGTAGCTGAGGAGTCCTATTCTGCTGTCATGTTTGATGATCTGATAGGCGAGTTTAGCAAGCACAGCAGCATACAACAATAACATTATTTCAGTGCAAGTTGGCTGCACAAGTCCTAATATCACATGAATACTCCCCACTGGTTGACATGGGGTTGTCAACATCCAACATTCCCAACTGTTACAAATGGCCTTGGCTCTCCTAAGGTGATGTTACAGAGGAGGAGTGTACTGTGGCAGGAACTTGAGAATATAAAAATATGAGTAGAAGAAGACCATATGTCTCATTGAATCTGTTCCAACATTCAATTTGCTGATAGCTGTTCCTAGACTTCAGCTCCAGTTTTCTAATTACCCATAACTTTTGATTTCCTGAGAGTCCAAAATTCTGTCAATCTCAGTCTTAAATATATTCAGTGCTGGCACAACTATAATGTTCTATCAATAGCTGTAAATCAGAAAATGGAAGGAAGAGAGGAAGTTGGTGAAAATTACAATTACCAGTGAAGTGATAATGTGCAAGCTGATGGAGTTATGGGCTGACAAGTCCCTTGGTCCTGATGGACTTCAATTGAGCGTCTAAAAAGGGTTGACTAATAAGGTAGTAGACACCTTGGTGTTATTTTTCAAAAAAATCATCATATTCTGAAAGGGTTTCATCAAATTGTCAAATAGCGAATATAATCCCTATATTCAAAAAGGACGGGAGGGAGAAAACAAGAAATGAGAAACCAGTTAGCTTATTGTGGGAAAGATGTTAGAATTGATCATTAAGGACCTTATAACTGGACACTTGGAAGCATTTTAAGGTGCATGGGAAGAGTCAGCATGGTTTTGTGATTGGGAAATCATATTTACCTAATTTGTTGGCATCCTTTGAAGGACTACAGTGGGCTGCAGATAAGGGGAGCCCATGACTAATGTGGTTGGATTTCCACAAGTCACTTGATAAGTTGCCACATGAAAGGTTATCACACAAATTGGAAATATATAGTGTAGGGGGTAAAATATTAGCAGGGGTAATATATTAGTATGAATAGAAGTTTGGCTGGTTGGCATAAAACAGAGTGAATGGGGCAAACCAAGTTCATGATGGTGGATGCACCCATGGAAGCTGGTTATGGCTGGCCCAGGGAATCCAATGGACCCCAGTAGGGAGAAACAGGTCAGAAGGGGCCTCAGCCATTAGCACACAGATGAAAGTGGTCAATAAGCAATCAATTAGTGCAGGAAATTGTCACCTTCTTGGAATTATAAGCTCATTAGAAGAGGGCACAAGAGCCCCAAGCACAAATGGGTTTGTGGGGTGGTGGGGTGGAATAGGGGGTCATCTGAGCATAAGGTAGGCAATCAGACCTCTGCCTGCTGTTGAAAAGATATCTCAGGAGAAGCAATGTGATGAAACTGTAACATCCATTTGTTATTTTGTGCTGAAATTGTTTCACACTTGTAGAGTGCTGCCTCCATTCCCACCTCTGCTTGTCCCTAATTGGCTACCAAACCCATATACAGGCCAGTTAATAAAGACATGTCCTCATGAAGATCAGAGTCAGTAAAATTTTGCACCATTGGTGTATTTAAGACTTGGAAATAGACCCTATCCTAATTTTCTGCCCCTGGAAGGAGAACCTTGCCTCACAAGGCAGCTTAATTTAATGATGGTTTATTGATCCATAATTAACATTCAAATTTGTGTTTGGTCTAACCCAAACAACACGAGTAAATACAGAAATATCCCCCAAAATTTAAGAATAGGAGCCAGATCCTGAGCAGTCATGAGCTGATGGTTGGAGCAATAGGTGTATGTTCAAACAAGTTCAGAGATTAAAGCTGATTAAGTAGGATGATGTGAGGCACTTAACTGCAATAAAAAGATCCTACAGTCTATTTACAACAATTCTGGTTTTAATGTGCTGTAGTAAGATTTAATGTTTTTGAGAAGACTTGTAGCTCTGGTCGTGGATAAGGTTTTAGACATGCTCGCCGAGCAAGTGTGTTTGGTTGCAGATGCTTCGTCACCTTGCTAGGTAACATCATCAGTGTATCTCTACAGTGAAGCGTTGGTGTTCTGTCCCATTTGTTATTTATATGCCTGTTTGCTGGGGTGGTTGGCATTACTTCCAGTTCTTTTTTTCAGTGGTTTGTATATCAGGTCCAGTTCAATGTGTTTGTTGATGGAGTTCCCCAATATCAGGACTGATTGCAGAAGCGGTAATGCAAAGGTTAGGACAAACAGCGCTCCCCATTATACAACCAAAACTCTGGATCTGCTATCTAGATTTGTGATTATCAACCGCACAAGATTAGAAGAAACCCACCGACACAAACATCTTCACCGGAATAAAATTCACAAAAGAAGAGGAGAACAATAACTGACTTCCCTTCCTAAACATAATGGTAGAACAACAGAGTACTCTAGACTAGCATATACAGAAAGACCACACATACGGACCAGATACTTAATTACACCAGCAACTACCCCGATATCCATAAACAGAGCTGCATCAGTACATTATTCAAATGGGCCA